AAGCTGATTTCCCATCCTTATTTATATGCTACCTGTTGCCAAGGAGAACCTGCAGGCCTCCATCTTTTCTGTACATGAGGAGAGCAACTTCCCTGTGAGAGCTGTCTGCTCATCAATGGTGCTAATCTCACCTCCGAAGTATTTGCTTCCAAAGGGCAAGGTGCTTTGCTGTGGTTCCCTGTGCGGTGCTGCACATCACACACTGTTATGCTAGCTGAGCGAGTTCAATACTCATCACTTCTTCAATGTCTTTAGCTAATGCTACCGCTTTTGATTCAAAAATGAACTAGATTTTTCATGCAGAACTAAGATTGGATTTAACTGGCATTACTGTTATTTAAATGCAGAGTTTAATGCAGTCTAACATTGACTAAGGACTCCAGTGATATAATGTGGTGCTTTATCTCAGAAATTCTATGGAACGGTGGCAGGAACGGCTGGACAGTTTACCAGGCATTGGTGACTTCAGTGTGTTCTCAGAATATGAGAGAGATGTCAAAAGCAAATAATTTTGTATTTAAAATTTTTGTACTGATTTGAAAAAAAATATCTTATTAAATATCTTAAAAAAAAATTAAAATCCTGTTTTCATTCAGCAGAAACATTAGAAGGAACATTCAACACGTGCGAAGCCAAGAAATCAGGCAGTGTAGAGGTATACTACTAAGGGTTTCTGATCTCCCAAAAACTCTGGCTGGCAGCCCAGGCTGGGAGACTCACACCATGACCCTGGCTCTCCCTGGGATTTGGAAACAGCTTTTCCTATTACTCCTCATTCCCATTTTTCACCTGCAGCATAAACCTAGTGTGAAAGCAGCAGCACAGCTGTCACTGATCTACATCACTAACCAACTGTGGCTCCATTGCTGACAGAAGGTAGACTTAGATGAGAAACTAGAAGTTGTTCTTTGCTATGAGTGTGGTGAGACACTGGCAGACAAACTGTGGCTACCCCATCCCTGGCAGTGTTCAAGGCCAGGTTGGACAGGGCTTTGAGCAACCTGGTCTAGAGGAAGGTGTCTCTGCCCATGGCAGGGTGTTGGAACTCCGTGATCTTTAAGATCCCTTCCAACCCAAACAGTTCTATTATTCAATGCGTAAGTTATAATGCATAAGCTCCCCCAGTCTCACCCCAGACAGGCATTCCCTCCAGGCTGTCAAACTCCTAAACTGTCAGTACCAAAATGAAGGTATTTCATACCTACTTGTGTCAGGTAATCCTTTTCTAAACCTCCCTTAAGACTCCCTGAAGCTGCTGGCTAAGCAGCTCCCTTGCTCCCCAGCATCTCAGTTTTACCATACTGAGAGAAAGAGAAAACAAAACATGAGTGAAGTATCACAATCAGTGTCTCCCACTTTCTATCTAAAGTCTTTTCACCACACACCATCTTCCTAGTTAAACATCTTTTATTTTAGCAATCCCCTGGAAGTCCCCCATAAGACAGGCAAGATTAAAAACAAACCATGAAAAACTGAAATCAGGAGTATGCTGCTCTGGATCATACCCACAAAAAAGCTATGTCCCAGCCTCACTTTTGCTCAGCCTGGAGTGAGCTCTCCCCCTGCAGTACAGCTCACACCTATTCAGCTCTGTTTGCTTTACTAAGCACCAAAGCTTGTTCTGAAACTCAACCCCATATCTGACAACACTGTGTGTACTTTACACACCATTAATAATCGGGCTGACCATGCCTGCGCATCTGCACATGCGGAGAGTGCTAACCTTGCAAAAATAAGCCTGAGGGCACTGTCTTTAACAGAGTTTATTCACAGGACAACAATCTCTTTCCATTTGTAGCATTCAAAATTTCATGCAAAACAACTGCAAGGATGTCTTCAAAATACAGCTGGCACTTTAAAAGCATATAAAACTTAAGACAAATGGTAAATAAAGTAAGTATTTACCGATACCAGAAAGAAATGTTGGGTTTCCTATGTTCTTAAAAATCAGACTCCATCTAAAAGTTATTTATACCACCTCCCAGGGAATTGTTAAAAAGGAAAGTATAGCCTAGGAAACGAGGTACCATATACTCATAATTAGACACCAAAGTTCTGTATTATTATCACCAATACAGTCACCGGAAATGTCATCTATCATGCCTTTCAGGCAACTCTCAGGTTCATATTTAGTGCAATAGTCTGCAACCTTCCTTTTTAAGTCAGCTCTCAGTACTTCTCTCAGTTATTACAGCAGAAGAAAAAAACACTTTCCTGATAGAAAGCAAACAAAAAAAACCTAAAAGTCTGAGCCGAAGCAAGCTTTCAGCTGACACCTGCCATCCTGCTTGTTCTGGGCATACTCCACTACCTTAGAGCTGGGTCTTTACTACGGTGCAGTGTTTTGAGCAGGGTGGCAGATAAAATGCAGGAGCACCTCTGCTGTAAGGTGCTGCGGTCTCAGACCTCAGCAGGCTGCTGCAGAACAGGACAGAGGAAGACGGGATGAGAGCACTTGACTTTGCAATTGACACAGGAAGAAAATGGACAGGAGGTACTGGGTACCTATAGTTACAGTTACCACTCATGGAAACAGAGCTGGCAGCACCTTGGCATTCAAGATTGGCAGCTTGGCAGATGACGATGTGATTCAAAACAAAGGGGAGCTGTTAAAGGGAAGCTTCAGTGCAGAGATTTCACTTTCAGGAATGACAAAACTAGAAAAACAGAATCTTAGTAGCAGCTCACTCTCAAAAAAAGATGTAAGTTTTTGGAGTTAGTATTATTTCTTTTTCCCAAAGTCCCAAGGCAAGTCTTTGGTTCTGCAAAGTGCCTGTGGAAACATGCCTGGATAGAATAGGCACCATCATCTGTGAAACACTCACTCAGGTATTCCTGCCCAAGTGAAGCTGATGGAAAACCCACTCCCATCCTCAAAGCAGTGTAGCAGAAACGACCATGTGAAGCAGGTGATGAAGCAGGGTTGGAGTACACAGAATCTTACTGAAACATCTTACAGGAGGGAAAATTAATCACTTGAGTTGCTGCTTAGTATTGAAGAAAAAGCTACTGGCCTGCAAGCTGTGCTCTCCAAAGCCCTAGTGCCCCGTGGTTTAGCAACAGTACCAGCTCTTGTCTCGGTCCCAAGTGAACAGTTTGGCTGTAAATGCTCCCCAGCCACCCAGAACAGTAACGTGGCATACGTGGACGATGCCCCTGCAGGAGCACAGGAGTAGGGGGAAAACATCCCTAGGAGTATTGCTTAATTTCCAAAATGTCAGTCACACAAACAGGGAGGCTTATTAAGAAGAAATACAATAAAAAGGGGCAGCTGATAGGGCTAAATGCTTGTGGACAGCATGTTAAATGTGTTGAGAATCCAAAAACATTATTAAAAAGCCCCAAGCAAACCAACCAACCCAACAAAATTGTTAGGGAGACCAAAAAAGCTGATGTGGTAGAAAAATAGCAAAGGAGCCTAAGTAAAAAGTTTGGGGAACACCATTTGTTTGCCACAAAGCCTTTTTTCCAATTACTTTCCTTGGATTCTAATTATAACAGAACAAAACCCTCTGAAGAGGCAATTTAGCATAGAAAATACGCACATCCTCAAAGGCAGAGCTCCCTACCCACCTCCTGCTACTGGGGACAGGGGTTGCAGAAGCAGAGGGGAACAGCAGCACCATCACAAGAATGCAGGACTTTGGGGAGAGAGCAAATTCTACAGCTCTCTTGGACAAAATCCTCATGGTCAGCGTACAGAAAGACATGGATGTGGCTGGATCCATGGCTACAGCCCATACCAGAGCTGGGGTGGGGCACATCTTTAGGGGCAAGAAGCAGCCCCTCCACTTCTGTCTGGCTCTATTCTCAACAGTCTGAGATCTGCCAAGGACTTCTACACAAAGAGAGCTCACTCAACACGGCCTCTGTGAAAAGCATTACATACGCATTTTCTTTCCCGTGGAATTACTATGTCAGGAGTTCAAATCACTGCAGTGACAAAAAACCTTTTTAATGAACTGAAATTGCCATGAGAAATAAATGCTGGTGGAAGCAAAGGCATAGCATCACTTTTTGCAGATGCAAAACCCGACTTGTTTCTATTCAGATTTTTTTAAGCAATTATCTCCTCAAATCCCAGAACAATGAATGTCAAAAAAAAAAAAAAAACCCACCAAAAATCCAAACAAACAAAAAAAAAAACTAAGAACCCTTCTGTCATATGGTTTCCTCCATTTCCAGTTCTGGTTTCCCCCCTTTCCAGCACCACAGCCCCACACCGCCCATGTTCCATTCCCCTCCATGCCCTTGCCCTGGGCACAGCTGGACAAGGGGTCACCCCCTGCAGCATCACCTGCAGCAGCTAGGCCCAAAGGACACACATCCAGATCGCAGGACACCATGGCACAGCCTGACCCTTGCTGGGGACACGTCTGGGTCCTTCCCCAATCCTTAACACAGATTCTTATGACATTCAAAGTTATTTCAGATATGTTCCTTTTGCATGAAAAGGACCAAAGCTCAGGAGTCATTAGGTGAAAGCACAAACCTCCTCCTCTTTGGCTGTAGCTACCCCCCAAATCACACTGCCCTCACTGATTCCCAAACAGCAGAGCCAAGGAGCTGAAGCTGGACATGACAACTACAGGAACATGGGGGTTTTAAATACCTATTTAAACACCTATATATCGCTCTTCAAGAGAAACAGGAAAAAAGATGACTCTTTGGTCACTTCAGAGCTTATTCCTCTAGGTTGCTGCAGCAAAGAAACTGCATTTGGTACTCTCGTAACCTTCAGCTTCTAGGAAAAAAAAATACTGTGCTCTCAACCTGCTAGAGGTTTGTATTCATCTCTTAATTGTTTGGACTGCTCCTAAATGTACTAAAAACCTCTCTATATAATTTTATTTAAAAGCAGCAAAAGTTTTTCTACCAACTTTAAAGATGTCTTTTTTCTTTTTGAAGTGGACTTCATTGTACTTTCTTTAGATGTGATTGATCAAGGTAACATAAGATCTGCAAATCTGACACAATTAGAAGAAAATAATACACTGTCCGAGAGAATTGGAACAACACATTGCTTGTTCTGCTTTGACAGCTGTCAAGGGCATTTCCAGGCAGATTTAACTCATTCAGCTGGCTTGTCTGAGACAAACCAGTACAGCAAAGAAACATCTCATCACATGTTTCAATTAAAAACCACTAAATGATTTAGTTCAGCCACAACCTTTAAACCTAAATGTCAAGACAGGACAAGTAAACAGAAGCCAAGTGATAATTCAGCTGAGGCACATCTTGGTATTCCCCAAGCACACTCTATTCCAAAAATGGAAACATCCATTGTTCAAATTGATGCATTTCAAAGGTGGAAGCACATTACAGCATCTGAGAAAGGAGACTGTTCTGGTCTGGAAAAATACACCTTGATTCTTGGGAAGCAAACAGGAAATACAAAAGATCCTGTCCTAGAGATCTAGGAATCCAACAAGCATTGGCTCCAAATTTAAACTCAGGCATGAACATCTGTGTCCCAGCTCACATCTCCACTGTAGTCTCAGGGAAGCTGTTAGGACAACTCTTCAGTCTTCATACGCCCTCTTTTCCAAGTCACAAACTGCAAAATTTACTGGATGCTCAGGATGGGGAGTATGATTTTCCATAAACTGGTTACACCACAAACACTGTCAATCCCAACACCTCCATGAATAGGGCCGAAGGGTCTCCATCTTTGGCAAAGGCAGACCGCTGTTCAGAGCTGATGGCCAGTGCAGAAGTTGTGGCTTCTTTGCTGAAGAGGGATGTCCCCTCCTCAGGAGGAGGGCAGACCAAAACCTGCACACTCTGTGTGTTCCCCCTTCTCCCAGCCACACAGTAAGGATTTATAGGCATCGCTTTACAGCTGTTTTCATACTACAGGAGAGACATTCAAGACTTTACATCCATCTACTTATTAAACACTGGTTTTTTTTCAGTTTTGACAGGGTAATTCTTGGGGGACAACATCAGAAACAAAAGTATTCCAAAGAAGTAACTGTTTGTAAAGAGTTCTTGCTGATAAATAAGTGATATGCATCACATTTTTATATATCCCTGATACTTTCAGCTGAAAGTTTCATGGTTTTCCCATTATTAGACAGCTTCACAGAAATTCAGTTAACTGTTTGCAATAGTCTTTTACCCTTGGGCTTAGAAGAAGATTCTGCCTTAGTGAGGTTTCTGTGTTTCTTTTAAACAGTAAACAGTTATGCTGCACTTAAAAAATAAAAGTGTCATACAAAAAAATATATATATTTTTTTTTAAATCTTGAAAATAGTGATTGTTCTTCATATGTTCCACTCAGCTCTCACGTCAAATTGACCACAAAGTTCTTGTCTATAAGCTTCTTCAAAAATTTCTGTTCAGCATTGATGTTGTGGTATTCATTCTAAAGAGATAAAAGGAAATAATAAAAAGTTAAATTCAAACTATTACCAGAAGCATCACTCTGTTGTTCTTTCCTTTTAATTACCTGTGGTACTTGGAAGATCTAAGAGTAGGAAAGCTCTGAGGAAAAGACTTCTCAGCAAAGTTGCAGCATATTCTTCCAAGAAAACAGGTGAGGGACTTTTGCTCAAAACTAGATTAGATTTTCCATTAGGACAAAAACCAAATTGGAAGATCCTTCAGTGGCAAGAATGGGTGAGATGTGGTCTCAGAGAAGACCTTCCATTGCTACCTCTCCCAACTCCTCCCTGTGCTGAGACGGAACAGCTGCATAACCACATTTACAACACAAGTGGTGAAAAAATGATTAATTCTCAAAGCTCAATGCAGGTTCTTGAAAAGCACTCATCAGGCATCTGGAAATCAGATGCATGCTGCCAATCAGTTTCAACAAGCCAAAACTAGCCCATCTTCTGGGCTGTATCCAGATCCTGGATACACAGAGACCACTGAGGCTGGGGGAGGACAGCACAAGGGAAGTCAGTTTACTGACAATCTTAGACACTGAATCCAGTAAATTAAAATGAATACAAATACTGCATAAAAGACTGTACATATACAATATTTGCAACTCAATGCCACTAAAGAATTGATGACCAGTTTAGTTAGTTATTTTTTAAAGTTTCAAGATCTGAGGAAGCTTATAGATATCTATTCAACTAATGATCAACCTTAGCCAAGCTTGGTGTACATTGCAAAAAAGTGCCTCAAAATGAAGCAAATTCAGTGTCAGAGCAGCAGTCCAGAGAGACACAAGAGGCCCCTATGAGCATTGTTCCTGTCCTTCCTCTCCAGGAAAGGGAGGAGGAGAGAAAATGGTGCCCATACACACTGGGCTATATCCACATGGAAGAGAAAACTGGTGACATTGAGGTAAAGGGCTGAGATGGAGTTGCTCACAGTGTGGAACTGAAGACAAGAGCAGAGACATAAAAGAAAACAGAGGCATGACCATAGCAAAGCAGGAGGGAGGAGAAGGCACCACAGATGTCTGCCAGCCTCCTGCTGCTCCTCTCCTAGTGAGCTATGTCTTCCCCCTCCTGGAAGCAGCTCCTCTTCCTACCTCCCTCTAAGAGCCGCTTTTCTGCTTTCCATTTCAGAAATTCAGTTCTTTTCCTAACTGCAAGTGTGTAGGTCTTAACTTCTTCAGTTTCCCTTTGCTTTTATTTCTTTTTTAAAGAATTTTGGCATCTGTGACAAACTGCGCAAGTAGGTGCCAAGGAAAAAGAGAATACAAATAGAAACAACACTATTCATGTTCCGACAGCGCTAGCTAATACACTTCTATGAACAAGAGCTGTGTAGCCTTAAGGATAACACCAGCAAAGCAAACAGAACATACAAATGGTTGTATCTCATGCAGACATTGCAGAATGCAGTGGTGCACAAGGGACATAAATACCATTTATCCATATTTTTCAGAAACAAAAGTAGAGATGAAGAGATTCAAGCAATGATAACACATGAGCAGCTGACCCAGCATCAAACAGGAGGCCTGTGGACCTGGAGTCCACACTTCTATCTACTGAATTGACTTCCCCAGTTACCAGCTATATTTCTCTTAACATAAACAAGCGTTTGTTACCTGCATCATCTGAGACATTGTGTCATTGCCGTAGTAGTGCAAAGAACTGTTTCTGTCAGTGAAGTCGTACTTGAAGCCTGCCAGGTGAACTTCATGGCATATGTGAAATGCTAGTGTAATGGCAATTAGCCCCGTTGTTGGATGCTTGGGTTTCTAAAAGGAAACACAAAAAGCACACATACATAAATAACCAGCAGCTTGATGGGAACAGCAAGAATAAAGACAGTGGAAATCAGACAGCCTTGCTCTTCTACAGATGGTTGGGTTTGTAGTTTGATCCCCTTGTGTCTCCTAAGGAGTAAGGTACTGCCTGCAGGTGTTTCATGACTGAGGTGTTGCCATACTGTCCTTTCCTGGCATTCTCCATTTCTAGTGAGGGCTGAGCCCACACTGTAGCCCTTCCCTCCACACAGGCATCAGGGAAGTCTCCCCATTGCTCTGCTCAGCACCTACTTTCAGGAAACTGGTCAAGCTTCAATGTATTGGAGACCATTTCACCCCATCAGATTTGACATATGTGTTCAGAAGTTTCTAGATGATGGAGATCCAGATGAACAGAACAACATGACATTGCACCAATCTAAAAAAGCATGAATGCTACTGCTACATAAATTTCACTGCATTTGAACTTTTTCAAAGAAAGAAAATTCCAGAAGACCACAGCTTTAGAACTCCCACCACTATCTGCATTAAGAAGAAAAGAAACTTTAGATGAAATTGCTTATTTCTCCCTACAGTGAGGTAGCTCAGAAGTAAATGCAATGTAAAATATCAAGAGCAGGTCAGAAACAGGATTTAAGTGGAAAATTATGAGCATCTAACTGAAAATAAACATTTCTTACAAGAGCATGGAGCAACTCATTGCAACCATCTGTGCTGTCTTGTGATCAAGTACATCATGACTGCTTTAGCAGCAGCAGGGGGTAACGTGATCTGGGGTAGTAAATGAGGCAAGGCTTGCAGATAGTGAACTCTTTCATGAGACCAACATGCTAAGGGGATGCTGGTCTAACAAAAGCTGTGGGGGGGGAAAAGCATCCCCAGAAATGGATGAAACTTTCAAGCACTGATGTCCTTTGCTAAAATAACAATTTTCTCAGAGACCAAATGAGCTGCACACTCTCAGTATCTGCAATCAAATCTCAAGCTGAGTGCAAAATCATGTGCTTTTCTGAACTCCTACCCAAGGCTCAGTTAATTTGCCTCTGAAAACAAAGCAGACAAACCAGCATGAGACAGCTTTGTACAGAGAGAAGGCAGATGCACTTGATGATACAGAATATTTTTCTGTAAAGAATAATATACAGAATATTTTTCTGTATCATAAGATGAAAGAACCCCAGGAAAAGGCTACTAACATCAACTCTGTAAGCCTATTTAAAGTCACAGAACTGAACTATCAACTTTTATGTAGATTTTTTGGTACCATTATACAACTCTTGGAGTGCTCCAGAAATAACATCAACTTAAAATGCATGCTACTGTCCAGGGCTCCTGCCAGTTAGCAAAATAACTTTTTGCCCTCAGGGCGCAATACCATCAATTTAGTGGTGACTCTGCTGCAATGTCCACACTAAACAGAACCCAAAAATGATGGCAGGAATGTGACATGTCAGGATTAGTGCCATTTGGAAATAACAGGAATTCCACAGGTTGCAACTAGCTCTGTTTACCTTTAACTATCATAAAGTTCATCTCAAAAAATAATATAAGCAACACTATTAAAATGTATTATCATGCCAGTGCCCTAGCAATATCCAGATATCCTTGGCTTGTAATTAAACTTGTTCACATTTAATGGGGATAAGCACAGCCCTGGAATGACTCTGCAACACTTTCTGACTTCAGTGCTGCTGGAGCAGCACAGCTGATTTTGCAGTTGTTCTCCCAGGTCTGCTAACACCACCACAGCTCCTAACAAAGAAACAGAAAAGCTTGTTGGACTACTCATAAGTGCCACTCAGGGAACATGAGGTTGGCTTAATGCAAAAGGCAGACAGCAATAGTGATCTTCCACATCTCCTGCAGGCAGAGGGAGCTTAAGTGCAGGACAGCAAAGGCAGGACCAGGGCTCCCCAAGGACACGCTAATTTGAGAATGAAGACCTTGCGCCCACTGTAGGAGAGGATCTGGTTCAAGACCATCTTAAAAATCTGAACATGCACAGGTCCATGGGTCCTGATGAAATCCATCCGTGGGTCCTGAAGGAGCTGGAGAATGAAGTTGCTAAGCCACTGGCTACCATATTTGAGAAATCACGGCAGTCAGGTGAAGTTCCCAGTGACTGGAAAAAGGGAAATATAACCCCCATTTTCAAGAAGGGAAAAATGGATGACCTGGGGAATTACAGACCAGTCAGTCTCACCTCTGTGCCTGGCAAAATCTTGGAGCAGATTCTCCTGGAAGTCATGCTAAGGCACATGAAAATCAACAAGGTGCTTGGTGACAGCCAGCATGGCTTCACGAAGGGGAAATCCTGCCTGACCAATGTGGTGGCCTTCTATGATGGGGCTACAGAACTGATGGACAGGAGTAGAGCAGTTGATGTCATCTACCTGGACAGCGTTCGACACTGTCCCACATGACATCCTTGTCTCTAAATTGGAGAGACATCAATTTGATGGATGGACCACTCTGTGGATAAAGAACTGGCTGGATGGCCGCACACAAAGAGTTGTGGTCAATGGCTCAATGTCCAGCTGGAGACCAGTAACGAGTGGCGTCCCTCAGGGATCGGTGTTGGGACCGGTCTTGTTCAACATCTTTGTCAGTGACATGGACAGTGGGATTGAGTGCACCCTCAGCAAGTTTGCCAATGACACCAAGCTGTGTGGTTTGGTTGATACCCTGGAGGGAAGGAATGCCATCCAGAGGGACCTTGACACACTTGTGAGGTGGACTGATGCCAGCCTTATGGAGTTTAACCATGCCAAGTGCAAGGTCCTACACCTGGGTCGGAGCAATCCCAGGCACAGCTACAGGTTGGGCAGAGAAGAGATTCAGAGCAGCCCTGCGGAGAAGGACTTGGGGGTGTTGGTTGATGAGAAAATGAACATGAGGCGGCAGTGTGTGCTCACAGCCCAGAAAGCCAACTGTATCCTGGGCTGCATCAAAAGGAGCATGACCAGCAGGTCGAAGGAGGTGATCCTGCCCCTCTACTCTGCTCTTGTGAGACCTCACCTGGAGTATTGTGTGCAGTTCTGGTGTCCTCAACATAAAAAGGACATGGAACTGTTGGAACAAGTCCAGAGAAGGGCCACGAGGATGATCAGGGGACTGGAGCACCTCCCGTATGAAGACAGGCTGAGGAAGTTGGGGCTGTTCAGCCTGGAGAAGAGAAGGCTGCGTGGAGACCTCAGAGCAGCCTTCCAGTATCTGAAGGGGGCCTATAGGGGTGCTGGAGAGGGACTCTTCATTAGGAACTGGAGTGACAGGACAAGGGGTAACGGGTTAAAGCTTAAACAGGGGAAGTTTAGATTGGATATAAGGAGGAAATTCTTTCCTGTTAGGGTGGTGAGGCACTGGAATAGGTTGCCCAGGGAGGTTGTGAATGCTCCATCCCTGGTAGTGTTCAAGACCAGGTTGGACGAGGCCTTGGGTGATATGGTTTAGTTTGAGGTGTCCCTGCCCATGGCAGGGGGGTTGGAACTAGATGATCTTAAGGTCCTTTCCAACCCTAACTATTCTATCATTCTATGATTCTACTGGATAGAAAGCTCCTAAATGGGTCCTGCAGAAGTCCACCCTGACAACAGGAACCCCTGAGGTACAACCTGCAGCTTAAGAGAGCAACTACAGATGTGCAGGCTCCTGTGACAGCCAGCCTCTGAGACGGAAAAAAAAGCATGCCTGATCTCGACCATTTGCTGTCACTGGGGACATTTGCTGCTACCAAATGCCTGGGATGGAGCAAGCGCAATGTAGAGGTAGCAGAAGGGGGCTCCAAGAATGGATGTGCTCTACCTAGCTCTGGGCAGGAACGCCCAGTGAGCTAGAGAAGAGCAAAGGGCATGTATGCTACACAAGCAACTGAGAGGCCTGTGCCTCCATACCAGCTCGAGCACACCACAAACATATCTAGCTCAGCAACAGCACTGTCTCACTTTTATACCCACTGAGAGAGGAGGAATTTCTGGAGCCATGGAGGCCATGAATGTTCTATGGCCCTTTAGGAGACAGTCAGGCACCCAACTACTATGCTGCTTTCTTCCCACCCTTGGCTGAAGAGCTGAAATGCCATGGATCCTCAGCAAGCATGCAGTCAAACTGGGTATTCCAGTTTTCAGAGTTAACAAGGGAGGGAAAAAGCCACTGGTAGGCTCGAAAAGACAGAATTTTACAAAGATTTAAAGAAAAAAAAAAAAAGGCCCAAAACCTCCCCAAAGCAAAAAACCCTCAACTCCCTCAAATATTACAAAGTTTAAACCAGAAAAAGTTGTGGCAGACACTGTACAGTGACAGCCTGTCAAATGTTTCTGCACATGTCAGTTGGCTGATCCTGATGAGGCAGCTCTGTGCAATGATGTGACCCTAGGGAACTGTATCTGTGCTACACAGCACGTGGTCAGTCCTGACTGTGTAAGAGAGGTCTGCAGCTTGAAGCCTTACCTTTCATCAGAAACATTCCTTAGTCATAAACTGACAGTTAAAACTATTTTTGTGTCCAAATTGCCAGTTAACTCATTACAATGCTTGGCATCAAATCAGTAAGCACACAAATGCTGCCAGACATATGTCATTAGTGCAGGGCTGGAATATCCTGTATGCGCCTCAGTCCTTACCCACCCCCAGCAGTGGGAAACTGCAGCAGTGTTAGAATTACTGCTAGCTGTGTGCAGGGGTATGTGTATTTTTGTGTGGGGGTTTTTATGGTGTTTTGTTTCTGCTGGGATTTTTTGTTTGTTTGTTGTTTTGTGCAGTTTGGGGTTTTGTCAATATTTGTGGTTTTGGTTTTGTTTTTAAGGAAAAACAAATATATAACACCTTGCATTTAATATTTCAAGACTCCTTAATATTTCCAGAGGCTCTCTGGATCTGCCATGCTCCAATACCTCTCTGGTTTTCCCAATTTTGTAAAAGACATTACGTCTGTGTGCAAAAGCAGTCTCATTTAATACTAATTACAGAATAGGTGTACAAGGCTACCCACTCTTTCTGGATTCCATTTTTCCATCTTTTCTAAGCATCATTCTAAATGCAAACTACTGCAATGTGAGCCTAAAAGATGTTCTAACATAGTCCACTATAATAAAGAGAAAATTACCTCTGAGTATACATTTGGTTGCACGAAACTGAAAGGCACAATTAAAAACCCTACCTCCTTCTTGGGAAACCTTGTTGGGAAACGAAGCCATTCATAAGCTGTTTTTCTGGTGATGCTGGGATCAAGAATCCTGATTTGACTAGATTTGTATATCATGTTCAGAGCCGGTTTCTTCCAAAAGCCTTTAGCACTCTGTAACAGGTAAGCAAATACCCATTTTCAGCAGCTATAAATGGCTGATTTTTGTTTTTTAGCATCTGTCGTGGTTTAAACCCAGTCAGGTAATTCGTTCGCTCACTTCCCCCCCTTTCTTGCCCTCCCCCTGCTCCCGGAGGGACGGAGAGGAGAATCGAAAAGAATGCAACTCCCACGGGTTGAGATAAGAACAGTTTAGTAACTAAGGTATAACACAAATCACTACTGCTACCACCAATGATAATAATGGTAAAGGAAATAACAAGGGAAGAGAATACATCATCTCACCACCAGCCAACCGATAACTCGCCCCCCCAGCCCGACCAAGCTCTGACCGATACCTCCTCCAACCCTGCAGTCTCCTGGCCCTTTCCGGCTAACTCCCAGTTACATCCTGGGCATGACGTGCTGTGGTATGGAATACCTCTTTGGTCAGTTTGGGTCAGGTGTCCTGTCTCTGCTTCCTCCTGGCTTCCCCTCCTCCCTGGCAGAGCATGAGGCTCACAAAGTCCTTGGCCAAACCTAAACATCCTTGTTATCAGCTCTGTTCCCGAGCTGAAAGTCAAAACACTGCACTGCACCAGCCACCAAGAAGGGGAAAAATGACTGCTACTGCTGAACCCAGGACATTATCCACCCCTTATTCCATACCATTCACGTCATGCTCAGATCCCACATTTTCAATATACTCTTATCTTAGTGCATAGACCAGTCCCTATAAAGCTGCTGCGTCCATCTGGTCCATGTCAGGCTCCATCTCTTGTAACAGTCTTCCAGAGCAGGAGAGACTGTGTGCAGTGTTCACACTCGTGAATAACCTGGGCAATAGTGTCCATTGCTATGTCCACCCCTCGATCATGAGTCCATCTCTATGTTGCATCTCTGCTATGATGGCCTGAAGTGCCATGGGCCCACCAGGCTTAAAATAATTCACTGTCCCCTTCAGCAGTTTCTGCAGCTTGTTGCTGGGGACTCCATGCAGCTGCCTTCCATCTCCGATGTTTCCAAAGCACTGGAGGGGCCCAGTGGACTAGATACTTGCCCATACTGTCCCACACACCCTGCCACTCATGACTCTCCAGCCTTGGGGAAAATCTCCTGGTCCCACTATATCGTTGTCTAACCCCAGACAAGACCCAAATCTGACTCTGCTTAACTTCTGAGATCAGACAAAATGGTTGTGGGTAAAACACAGTCTGTATGTGTGCCAACATGCTGATCCCCATCACAATCAGCAGGCAGGTCCCAAGGACACCCAAAGGCCATTCAAAACCTTCAGAACTCTCAGTTGATGCTGCTGTGCTTGTCACTGGGGCTGGTGTAGCTGCTGTGCTTGCCGGCTCTCCCACCGCCAGCTTCCCTTTTCCTGAGTCCAGCTCTTCCTCCTCTGCCTTGCTGGGAAATGCTGCGTGGTCTCCTGCATGCTCCTGGGGCTCGGCGGGCGGCTTCCCGGAAATGCTCTCGGCCGTCGCGGGGCTGCGCTCGGCCGCGGGGCTGGGCTCGGCCGCGGGGCTCGGCTCCTCCGCCGCCTTCTCCCGCTGCTCGGCAGCCGCTTCCTTCTGCTCCTCGACCGCCCCGACCTCCTCCACCGGCAGCCGTCCCCTCGCGGCCTCCGGCCCCGCTCCCGCCGCCGCTTGGTCCCCGGGGCCGCTCTCCCGGGCCGGTTCGGCTGCCGCCGGCTCCCGGGGCCGCTCCCCCTCGGCTCCCCGCAGCCTCACGAAGATGGAGAGTAGGGCGAGGGCCAGGACGGTGAAGAGCAGCCGGACGGCCAGGTACAAGTCCACGGCCACGTCCGTCCCGCCCTGCTGCTGGAGCCCGCCCGTATTACAAGCCATTGCCATAAAGCACAGTGAGACAAGAACCTTAGCCCAGGCCCCATACTTGATAAACACTAATACAGCTAATACCGGCTCTACGTAAGTTACAACATTCTGAAGCTGTGAGATCAAGCAAAACAACTCTGAGAGCCAATAAATCACCATTGTGACAAGTGACTATTAATCTGGTCAGATCTGTCGTTATCTCAACCCTTCGTGCCCCACGTTGGGCGCCAAAAAGAACTGTCGTGGTTTAAACCCAGTCAGGTAATTCGTTCGCTCACTTCCCCCCCTTTCTTGCCCTCCCCCTGCTCCCGGAGGGACGGAGAGGAGAATCGAAAAGAATGCAACTCCCACGGGTTGAGATAAGAACAGTTTAGTAACTAAGGTATAACACAAATCACTACTGCTACCACCAATGATAATAATGGTAAAGGAAATAACAAGGGAAGAGAATACATCATCTCACCACCAGCCAACCGATAACTCGCCCCCCCAGCCCGACCAAGCTCTGACCGATACCTCCTCCAACCCTGCAGTCTCCTGGCCCTTTCCGGCTAACTCCCAGTTACATCCTGGGCATGACGTGCTGTGGTATGGAATACCTCTTTGGTCAGTTTGGGTCAGGTGTCCTGTCTCTGCTTCCTCCTGGCTTCCCCTCCTCCCTGGCAGAGCATGAGGCTCACAAAGTCCTTGGCCAAACCTAAACATCCTTGTTATCAGCTCTGTTCCCGAGCTGAAAGTCAAAACACTGCACTGCACCAGCCACCAAGAAGGGGAAAAATGACTGCTACTGCTGAACCCAGGACAGCATCTCTAACCAGAATAAAATCCAAGGGCAGGAGGTTGAAGAAGGAGTGCTGAACCTCCCAAAGTTCAGCAAAGACATGCGCAAATTGTACTCCTGCAATAGGATAACCCACTGCAGCAGCAGAGACTGGGGCCAGCTGCCTGGAAAACAGCTTTGCAGAAAGGTCCCTGATGGACCAGCTGTATGCCCCGGAGGCAGTAAACGCGAATTGTGTGCTTGGCCACATTAGTAAGAGCATAAGGAACACGTAGACAGATGTTATCATTTTCAAAGCACTTTGCACTGTGCTTTTCTGAGATCTCACAAATGCTGTTTTGGGTTCTCCCCTTTTGTGCAAGTGTCAAACTTGGGCAAGCTCAGCAGGCAGCCACTAAAATGGCCAAGGCGCCAGAGAGCAGGGCAAACAAGAGGGTCTGAGAAAACTGTTTTCTCAGACTCTTTTCAGATGCACACAGTGAAAAGATGAGAAATTCTTTCCTGTGAAGGCACTGCAGCACTGAAACAGACATTACAGAAATATCCCTGGAAATACTCAAAATTTACCTGGACCATGCCCTGAGAGCCTGGCATGGCTTTGAACTTGGCCTTCCTTTCTTTCAACAAGGTTTTGGACTAAAGACCTCCAAAGAGAGGTCCCTTCCAACATTATTCTGCAATTCCACCAAGTGTGCAGGATAAAATAATCTGGGAAATGGCTGGAACATGCATGCCATAATATGAAACAGTGCTAGGAAGAGGATAAAAAGTCATCTTGAAGAGGAAAAGGGATGAGGAACTGATTAAATATTTGTTCAACTATATTGTTCTGATCAAGTATACCGATCAAATATATTGCTCAAGGTCAGGCTGGACGGGGCTTGGAGCAACCTGGTCTAGTGGAAGGTGTCCCTGCCTGTGACAGGGGGTTTGGAACTGGATGATCCTTAAGGTCCCTTCCAACCCAAACCAATCTATGATTGAAACACTTGTTGTGAGAAAGAGGCCAGAAACATTTATGGGAAAGGGATACTGAGTAGACTGACTAGGAGATCCAGTGCTCCCTCCAGCTAGGAGGACTAAAGTTCAAAGCAAAACAGGTATTTTAAATGAGAGGTGTGTGGCAAGCTGAAGCAAAGTGCATGAATAATTAAACTCACTACTTTCTGACCACCCAGTATCTCCCAAAGCCACTTCAAGTCACGTGGTTTGAAGACAATGAGAACAACAGTTGTATTAGGGTCGTAGTGGATCGGATCTGAGAAGATGGATTCCGGGTAAGAAAGGCGGAAAGTCGTCCTCCTCCCAACATCATCTTCATACCCTATAACAGGGCCATTATTCATTCTGCAAAGGACAGACACAGAGACAGCAATGACCACCCTACCCACAACCTTACTGTGCACTGGCTGGCACACACGTTAGTCTGTTGGAAAGACAGCATGTCCAGGTACAGGAGGGCTTGTTGGCCAGCATTTAGTTATTACACTGCATGGTGGATGAGCAATTATCAGGTACACTCACCCTCTAACTCTGAGGGATCAAGCACGTATGGGAACTTGGCCAAGATGGTTTAGAACACAATCACACAATTGCTTATCGCGTGTCACTTGAGCAGACAGCCATCTGATTTGGCTCAAACACAGAAACTAGAGAAGACCAAAAAGAGTATCTGGCTTGGAGAATTACCAATTGCTCCATTCACACTACTAGATGATCCGAGTCATACAGGAGGCAACTGAAGAATGTTCTAATATTCTTCACTATCTACAGCATAAAAGAACAGGGATTATGACTGCATACCTGATGGTGATACATCTTTATGTCCGCCTTTTTTGTCTGCTTGAGGGGTTTGGGGTGTTAGGTCTCTGTTGTTTTTTTTCGTTTTTAAATATTATTTGCACAGCTGCCACTGCTTTGGGGTACAGCAGATTAATAAGCAGTGAGCAGGTGGGTCAGAGGGGCTACATTTAAGCCTCCGCCTTGCAGTTTCTGCTTGGTAGGTGTGTTTTGTATTCTTTGGAGAATTCAAGCAGTCCCTGTATGCTCCATCCTTGCCAATGTGACTGACTTCTCAACATTAGAGGCATGCTGCTTAGAAACGAATGTTTGTAAAACAAAGTATGCAGACAAGGGAGTATTTCAAAGTTTTAGCAAAAGTCATCATGAAATACAGAATGCAAACATGACCTCTTTGCTCCTTCACAGTAAGTAAATGCGTACTGTATTTCTGAAGCAGTTTTGAATTTAGAAATGTTTTTAAACGTGTAACAGTAGTCTACACAAAGATTTCCTTTTTAAGAAGAGTAGACAGATCACTGAGGAGCCCAAATACTTGAAATAGGTTTAAAATAATCTCTGGAGCTTCCATGCATCATCATACTACAGAGAAAATAAATGCAAGGCAAGTTTTATTTGTAAAGCACAAAGCTGGCAGGCAAGAGAAGCTTCCTAAGAACAAGGACATTATCTGGAGTCTGAACTTTATAAGAGGAGCTACAACTGAAGAATTCCATGTATTCATTTCCACCTTATCAGTGTGTTTTCAAATGCATGTCAAACTCCAGGCTTTGTATGGAGATTTTTTTATGGTAATGCCTGACGAGTGAAACACGACTACGAAAATGAGCATTAGGACCGATGGCAAAGTAACAAAAACAAGAACACAATGTTGAAGCATAAAGCAGACAAACTGAAACGGCAGCTCAAATTTTAGCAAAAGAGGGCTTCGGTACACTACCTGACCGACTAAAGGCAGAAGGGCTGTTTAACCAGTTACCATCTCACTTCTTGCAAAGGAGAAACTGATTTATCTTTTTCTTAATGTGCAGAAAATTGTTATAATTAGCCAAATACTGCATTTTCAGTTTGCTTGACATTTGAGCTTTTTTCCTCCCCTCTCCTTGCCTGTTCCTCTCTAAGCAGTTCCCCAGTTTCCCCAGCCCAACCCAGTCTTCTTCAGAGCACAGCATTCTCTGGTCTGTCAAAGCATCTTATAAACTTCCAATGTGAACTAACATGCTTGAGAAAAATGGGCAGACATCAACATCATCCTCCATGCATAAACATTTAATTCACTCCAAGCAATGCACAAACCAGCAGAGGGGTAAGAGGTGTGGTATGGAAGGTCAGAGGCAGAGCTGCCCAGGATGCTGCTCACAGCAAGGGCCACGTGCTTGGACCTATCCCTGATGGCAGCATCTTGCACATGTGTATCTCTGTACATGAGTCAGACTTACCACCCAGTGATCTCTCCTCCCCTGTATCAGTCAATCTGTGTAATAAAACACTGATCCATTTTTTCCTAAATTTTTTTAAATGAAGGCTGTGACAGGACAAATAAACCAATCAGTTTTATACATTTGCACTTGTATAATAACTGAACTCTAAAGCAAAAGTTTGTTAATTCTTTGCATGTACACGAAATGAAAAGGAGATACCATTTACCTGATTATCACATCATATGAGTCAATTTTCTCCCCTAATGTCTTATTTCGAAGTACTCCTCCATTACCGACCACGACACAGCGGTGACAGGTGATGCTGTGGAACAAACAGAGCTTTTAATATGCATGACTTCCTTTGCTTCATGTTGCTTTTCATGAGATATTTGCATTTAGCTGGCTTTTTTACTAGTGGAAATCCTGTATCTTTTACACTCTTTGGCCTTTACAGGGTACTCTCAATCCTTTATCATACACTAAGGCTGCTTTCAAAAAAGTAAATGCAGTTGCATTATTTCAGGAACTGCTAAACTTGGAAATTGGCTTCTCTGAAGTAAAACCAGTTTTATACATGTTCTTCTTCCAGTGGTTTGCTGTTTAAGATATCTAACCCAGTTGGTGATATGGGTAATGGCCGTTAGATAAATTATCTTCCACAGTGCTTCAAACTTACCCCAGTCTGGAGGTATACTAACCAGGACAGAGTACGTCTGAAAAAAATAGCTCAAATTAATGTGCTTCTGCCATACTTGTGACAACTTCACAAATCTAAAGATCTCTAACATAAGCTAAAGCAGTAAGATTTATGTTCACGATTTACCTTACATGCCTCTGAATTGTACGTGTGGAAAACTTTAGCCCAATGACATGCACGATGGCCATTCAAATACTGATTTTTCTCCTTCTACTTGAAAGTGCTGCCTAAGCATGTACTAAGTGCATGCTGTCACGACTTAAGAAGGATATACTTAATTAAAAGTTGCATTCTCATGTGACTAGATACAAATTAGACACAATAAGTATATAAAACACTGTGAGCATCAAGTTAAACCTTATACTACATGCAACCAGAATAGCTATTCCTGTCAAATTTAGAGCGTACTCGAGTTCAAAAGCACCCCAAAAAGGTATAATGAAAAGCGTAAACTTACAAAAATAGATTCTAAAAGTAAGATTTCCTAAGTTCTCCCTCGTTTTCTAAGTGCATCTTTCACTCCCTACTGTCTTATTTTAATGCTAGTAAAATGTGTGCTTTACTTAAAATAAAGAAAAAGTGCACAGACAGGCTTGCTGGTTTTTTACTCAATAGAATAGGCCTCTTTTGGGAAGGTTTACACCAAATGTATTAGACTGCAAACTCCTTCTTACAGGACAAGGCCATCATTTTCCATTGTAAAACTGCTTCTTCATTTAGAGCATTTCGGCTGCAGCAGGAACAATGGCAAAATAAAAAATTTGGTATTTTCTTCAGACACAAACAGGCTCACAGCTTACTGGGAATGAGTCATCTCCCAGCATCCCACTCCCACAGTTCTTCAAGCAAGCAAAAGGCTCTTTTCTTACCATAGGGCACCCCACGACTATCCCCCAAATACTATAATCTGTATTAAATGCCCAGTGTGTCACTTTATGAAGACTAATTAATATGTTCCTCCTCAGACAGTCCAACTTGTTTTTTCATCTGAGAGTATTGTTCAACATCAGTGAAAATAGCTTGTTCCAGCCAAGACCAACCAACACCTCAAGGTACAAAGCAGTTCCCTGTGTCTCCTACAGAGTTAATGCAGTTACGCTGTACTGCATGTGGGCTATGGGGAAACTGAGCCTCACAGTAATGCTGAAAACCTGAAGCTTACAAGAAAGGTGAAATGTGAATAAATGCCAGAGATAAAAGGCACTGCATTTCAAAAGAAATGCTGGGATGGCACCTTCTCGCCTGCTGCTCCAGAGCCACATCAGCAGAGGGAGTTGCCTCTAAAAAATTTATATATACATGTAAATATATATTTAAATAGTGCTGCTAAACACAGCTTTTAGGGTGGTGTGACATGTAAAAACCTGGCATACCTTTCTCTAGTGTTTCCTGTGCAGCTTAGCAGAAGCCAAGCATTCATAAAAATATTTCCAGCTAATACCACAAGTCTATGTGACTCAGTACCTCGGAAATCAGAGTGGTGAAAACCTGTTCCATCAATGTTCAGATGCCAGAAAGGGACTCTTCATCAGGGACTATGGCAATAGGACAAGAGGTAATGGGTTTAAACTTAGAACAGGGGAAGCTCAGGTTAGATGTAAGGAAGAAGTTCTTTACTGTGAGGGGGCTAAGGCACTGGACCTGTGGAGAGAGGAGCCCATGCCAGAGCAGGTTTGCTGGCAGGACTGGTGACCCCAAAGGGACCCATGCTGGAGCAGTCTGTTCCTGAAGGACTGACCCCACGCTGAAGCAGTTCATGAAGAACTACAGCCCATGGGAAGGACTCATGTTGGAGAAGTTCATTCAGAACTGTCTCCTGTGGGAGGGACCCCGCGCTGGAGCAGGGGAAGAGTGTGAGGAGTCCTCCCCTGAGGAGGAAGGAGCAGCAGAGACAACGTGTGATGTACTGACAGCAGCCCCCATTCCCTGTCCCCTTGTTGCTGCTGGGGTTGGGGATGTAGAGAATTCATGAGTTAAGCCCAGGAAGAAGGGATGTGTGTAAGGCGTTTCAATATTTGGTTTTATTTGTCATTATCTTACCCAGACTTGATTGGTAATAAAAATTGAGTCTGTTTTGCCAATGATGGTGACTGGTGAGTGATCTCCCACTATCCTTATCTTGTGATAGAGTGGCTTTGGTGAGCACTTACCATCCAGCCAAGGTCAACCCACCTCGGCTGACTAATACTACTTGGATGGGAAATTGAATTTGATTCAGAATTTGAAGTCTGATTATGCTTTCAAAGTCCAGTGCCCTTAATAACACACACACTCAAAAATAAAATCATTGGCTGCCTTCAGATAACCCAGAAAGCATCTAACATTAGTACACGGACTTTTTAAGTGTATAAAGTTAATGAGCAGATCAAGTATTCCTGATGAATTGTACACGAACACAGTCATAAATACAGTCAAGCAAATTAGAAAGACCAGCTTTTAATCTCTGTCAAACTCAGGAAGTCCAAGTGGACCAACTCAAACAGGAAGTCTGGCACAAATGCCCTCTTGTTGAACTGTATTCTCTCCTTTGCCCCCCTTCTCTGTATTCAAGTGTACTCAGTTACAATTGTAAGTCTGTGTCCACAGTAACACAGATTTCACTGACAACAATAAGCAGGGAGGGGAATGGTTTATGCTAGCATAAAAAGATTGAATATAATATCACAGAAAACTGACATATTAAATTGAGATAAAGAATATGTAGCCAGGCTGGACTGTATTCAGAGATACTTAAGTTAAATAAACTGACCTGTACTTTCTGTCAGACTGTTACTCCCAGATATTTTACCAACCATACTTACAAAGTTTCCTTTTTTTTTTTTAATTAAAAAAACTCCACTCACCCTAAAGGGTGAAAAACACTCTTTCTCCAAATCAATAAATTGGCAAGAAGAGATATAAATTCAGATGTCTTTAAACAACATCAGGTGTGCTACAAGTGAAATGTAACAGACTGAAATGCCTGGAGGTCTAGCTTACAACCACGAGCACAATACTGATGAAAGTGAAAAACAGTAAAACCTCAGTTATAACAATTGCTAAGGGATTGCATTTAGATGTTCAAGATCTACTTAAGAGTATAAATGGACCCTGATGCAATCACATGGTAATTCATCTCCAACATCTGAATGCAATCCCATTAGTAACTCAAACTATTGAACTACTGCCCTATTCACATGGTGTACAAGAGCATCTTAATCTCAAAGCCGGGCATTGCTTTACATACATTGTTTATGTGGTGAAATACTAAAATAAACATTTTCCTAGTCTATGAAAAAAAAAAAAATTTGTTAAATGGAAATGTAGCTTTTAAAGGTCAGCAGGTTTGCATCTTGCACATTCCACTGAAATACTGTTTCACTCAAAAAAGCAAAAAGATGATCTCAACGTCAGCTTCTTTAGTACACACCCCCCATAGTCAGTTGGGGAATGCAAATTATTTCCTCTGAGGTATTTGGTAAAAGGAAGATGCAGAGGTCACATTTTCTTGACTCAGAATTGTGTAAATGCATTTGTAAGAATTCACTGCTGTCGAAGTCCTAAGAGTGCCCAGCAAGTAATCCTGAGGAAAAGGGTAGAGGAGTCAGTGTTCAGAGGTTACTTTGTGGATATACCCTTAGCCTCAAAACCCTTTTCCTACAGGCTATTCCACTGAAGTCAGTGACACTGTTCACTTCCAAAGAGTTTTAGAGAACTGGGTCTTTACACAGTGAGAACACCTAAGTTTGGAAAATGGCACCGTTTGGAAAGAAATCCTTTATAGCTCACACTATGTACAGTTTTACCTAAGCTGCACACAAATACAGCTATGTATACAGCAAACCACAGATTTGGTGCTCATATAACCTAATATTTGTTAAAATACTTCACAACAGGTTCCCCCAGGAAATGCTTATAGGGAAATTCATTTCGCATTCTGCCAGGAAGGCTGAATTAGGCAGCAGCATTGCAGAGTTGCCCAATAATTCTGTATCACCAGAGAAGGTTGTTAGGATTAATTCCCAAAGTGTTTCACATTTAAAAGCCACTGTATCTCAGATAAATGTGTATGTATAAAAGCTCTTCTTTACTACCGCAGTTCATGCCCTAACAGTGCTATGCACAAAACCTGATAGATCTAGAAAGAACAAATCACACTGAAGTCATTATATTTTTGTTTATACTACTGCCTATTAAATATTAATAGTTCTCATTTTGCTTCAGTACTACTGAACTATATTACTTTTATTAAAATGAAGCATACTTCATGAACCATGAAACATACCTATCTCAGAGAACCTACATTCATTATACCAATTACCTTACTGTTGAGGACAGACATTTCCATTTAAAAGGTACTATGCTGTACTGCAGGCATCACAACAGCCAAAATGATTATAGTGCTGAACTTGTGATATCAGGAAATTTATAATACGGCATTTGGCATTCTCTTTCAATCTCCAGAAAAAATAATAGCCTTTCTCAGCCAATTCTGTATAAATTTCCCCAATTATTGTACTCCTGATAGAACAGTTTGGGTTGGAAGGGTCCTTAAAGATCATCTAGTTCCAACCCCCCTGCCATGGGCAGGGACACCTTTCACTAGACCAGGTTGCTACAAGCCCCTGTGTCCAACCTGGCCTTGA